ATATATATATATATATATATATATATATATATATATATATATATATATATATATATATATATATATATATATATATATATATATATATATATATATATATATATAATTTAATAATCTTGATTTAGTTGAGTGAACGAATTGACAATATTAAGGAATCAGAAGTTGAGGATTTATAATAGTAACCGGCAACAATAATGTGTTGGTTTAGCCCAAAATATACATTTTTTATATTGTCTCGAGCGTTAATTATATATTATTTTTTATAGTTAGTTATTTTTAGTATTCTTTATATCTATTTAAATATTTACACTTAAAAAATTTATATTGAAATTAGGAAGTGAAATATTTAGATCAATTTATTTTAATGTCATTGATTTTATCAACGAAAATATAAAAACAAATAGTAAAAATATAATTTTAATATTTTAGTTAATGGTGATAGACGGTATCGATCGCGACGAATGACAATGCTATTAAACGTCTAATATAATTATTGTGAACGAGAAAAACGACAATTAGAGATAAGTATTAACACAAATGCAGAATAACTCTCATCTCTTGTCGTCCCAATGACATCATCATTCATTACCATTCATATCATCCATCATTACTAATTAAAATATTAAAATTATTATTATTATTATTATTATTATTATTATTTTTATATTTTTTGATAAAATTAATGATGTCAGGGTAAATAGATATAGATATTTTATTTTTATAACTATAAAAATATTAATATATTTTTTTTAAAAATATAAATATTAAAAAATATTTAAAAAAAATTAATTATAAAAATAAAATCTATAATTAAGCCGCTTTCCGTGAACGTAGATCGTTGGTTCGAGCAAAATGAAGCGTTGTTGTCGATGTTTGGCTCAACTTAGCGGCTGAGGCGTCGAATCTGCCGTACGTAAGCGTAAAACACATGCTTCGTATGCGTTTCACCGAAAGTCGGAGGGACCGCAGCTATTGGCGCCACGATGGAGTGGATAACTGCACGTGACAGATTATGGCGTACGAGCTCCAGATGGCACGATGACGCCTCTCGTTTGGATAAGGCTGAATCTGGCTGCGATTCCGGTTTCCGGGTTCCCGTTCCGGTTTCCGGTTTCCTGTTTCATGCAGCCGATTCCAGTCCACTGTGAACACCGTACTGTTCCGTGACGGAGAGTCCTGTTTCAATCGACAGGTTTCTGTGTGCAGGTCAGGTCAGGTCAGTTGCGGTGCCCTTATCCCTGCGTCCTTCCAGATGAATGGCTAGGGAACAAGAAGGAACTTCGGACGCAGCCAAACGGCGGCAGGCGAGTCCCAGTCCGCAGGTCCAAGTCCGAACGTGATCGACATTAATGATCAAGACAAGTCTCGACGAGGTCGGATTTGGCCCAACCTCTAGACTCCAAAGCCAGCCAGAGGAAAGGAAAGGAGAACGAGTCTAACCCACACTCTAGACTCCAAAGCTGGATCCCCTGCTCGCCCAACCTGGCACTCCGTGTGCCGCGTACGACAGCGACGCCCGGTCTTTCCCGCCCCCAATTTATACCGCTCGCTCAACCCTCCCTCGTACCCGTCAAACACACTCCTCACAACAGCAGCGGCAGCAAACGAAGAAGAAGGTGGGAATGGATAGCTTCAGCAGCGACTCGTTGGACTCGCCGTTGGCCCGGAGGTCGGCGGGGGCGGCGGCGTCGGACGAGGAGGTATCCTACGCGACGGTGTCATCGGCGCCGCCCAAGAGGCGGGCGGGGCGCACCAAGTTCCGGGAGACGCGGCACCCGGTGTACAAGGGGGTACGCCGGCGCAACGGGGACAAGTGGGTGTGCGAGGTGCGGGAGCCCAACAAGAAGTCCAGGATCTGGCTGGGCACCTTCCACACCGCCGAGATGGCCGCCCGGGCGCATGACGTGGCCGCCATGGCCCTGCGCGGCCGCTCCGCCTGCCTCAACTTCGCCGACTCCCCGTGGCGGCTCCCCGTGCCGGAGTCATCCAGCCCCGCCGACATCCGCAAGGCGGCGGCCCGCGTCGCCGAGGCCTTCCTGCCACGGCCGTCTTCCGAGACGCCCGAGCAAATGCAGGAGCAGATGGCGACGGCGTGGGCGGCAGCCGACGATGCCTTCTTCGTGGAGGACGGCCTCAACTTCGGAATGCAGGGGTACCTGGACATGGCAGAAGGTTTGTTGATCGATCCACCGCCGCCTCCGATGGACTACGAGGACGACAGCGACGGCATTGTTCCCCTGTGGAGCTATGCCGTCTGAGACCTGCTGGGAAAATACTGTACATTATAGACAAAAGATTGCTTCGTGGCCGGAAATGGTGGCCACTGTAGTGCCTCTGCTCTAAATTAGGGGTAATAAATCTGATGAGGTCCGTTTGAAGAGGAACTCATTCAAATAGCGGAGGAGGGGAGGGAAGCAGGGGAAGAGTTCAAATAGTCTTTGTTTACCGAGCAATGCATAGTGTTAGGGCTGTTTTTAGGGTTAATTTACTGAGAAATATTACCATCTATATGGCTTATTATATGTCGCATCTACACTGAGATAAGGTTCAAGACAAAATAAAAGAAAAAAAAGCAGGTGAGGTGGCAGCCCTTCATTGGTGAAAAGCAGAGGTCCCACCATCGCACTATCAACAGGATCCACAGCATTATACTGCACTAAACAGAACTCCACTTCGCGTACATATATATCAACTGCTCCCTAACTTTATCTCAACAGTGTCGGACGAATGGATTGTGAGGAGAGAGAGGGTGACTCCATGTCGGCTCTGTGACACGTGTGAGAAGTCGGCATGTCCTCTGTCATGTTAATTAGGTTCTGCTGTGCTGTGGTACGAGGGGGAAGCATCATCCAAAGGCGCCGCCATTGCGTTCGTCGGGGCCCACTCGGGATGTGATCCATTGAACTCCGCTTGTGGGAACGGTCCAGAGGAGACGGCTGCCTCCGATGCTGCGGTCGTCGGCAGTTTTGGTTAGCGGTGCGATCCACGTCATTCCATTAATAAAGATCATGTCCCCCGTACAACCAATCTGGACAATAAGTGACAAAGAACTCTCTTCCTCCCTTTTATTGTTTTTGTGCATCCTCGCTTGCGGAGGCGTTGGATTAAATCAACGCTATCGCAGCTTTGGTCCACTTGGAAGCCTGTAATTGGATTTCTTCTGTGCATAATCAATGAAATGCCGCTGGGATTTGCCGTGGAATGGGTCACAAATTCCACCAAGAAATGATGGACATCAAAAGAATATATGTCGCCATCAATAAGGGCCAAGTACAGTACAATGCCACGAGTTTCTCAAAGGAATTTTTTGGACATCAACCCGAAGGAAGAATGAAAACTGAAAAGCAAAGGGAAAAAAAATAGAACATTCTTCACCTATCAACAAAACGATATAGAAAAAGACAATTAAAAGAACAATTACATCTCAATCGGTCAAGAAAGGGCAATGGGTTTCGTAAGCTCTTTGCTAACTCTTACCTAGATTTCTTCGTGATAGTTGATGTCCGGAACTTGGCATCTTCGTAGACGAAGCTCCACCAGAGATATGCAAGAGGGATGTTGGTGGCATGCCACAGTGCATGGGAATCGACGTAACCCTTGTAAGGTGGAAAGTCGTACAGCTCCAGAAGAATAGCCATGGCACCACCAACGACAACCGCCCATATCTTGAAGCGCGATGGATGATGAGTTATCCCGGCCCAGACTGCCCAGAAGAGCACCTGAGCAATGCCCATGGTGATGCAAACTTTCACGTTAAGACCTGCAGAACAGGTAGTGCCAGTTTCAGGCTATTCCCACCTAATAAATTTATGATGAACAAGCTGTCTATCAGATCTAGCAGTCAAAGTTATCAAGTCTCTGCATGGAAAACTAAAGTTTGCATCCCAATTTGCGGCAGAAGATTTCTGAAGAACCACTTGTAAGTAATGATAACAGGAATCACTTTGATACTGGCCATATTGCACCAAGGAACTTGACGATCTCAAAAAGCACAAAAATTATAAATAATTAGAGAAACAGGTTCTGGAGGCCTACATGTACAAGGAAAAGTAGCAAACCATCTGCAGGAATCTCATAGGAATTTTCTCCATACGTCTACTATTGTTGTTATTGCAACTATAGAAGAGTATCGAGTAACAGATGAGCACTCACCGTAGTCCAGTTCATAGAAGTTGAGATATAGGATATGTGTCGTCAGAAAGGCCAACAGGGGGGCAGCAACCATTACTCTTGAAGCCTCATTCTTCACATTAAATGTTCGCAGTACAGCCAGAATGAGGGAGAACCCAAGTAAAGCCACGGATGATGAATAATCCAGCTTCTCTGTCAAATCAAAACCTCTGCAGAAAAGATCAACCAAAAGCAGTCAACAACAAAACAATGATACAGGGATCCTATTATTTTGTTTTTATCAAGACAATGGGGGGAAAACATCATACACATACCGAGTATGAAATATGGCACCCCAGAACCAGGCATTCATGGATAACAGCCCATATATATGCCACAAGCAAGTGAACTCATAGTATGTCTTCCCACTGTGGGGCCTAAGGGGGAGCTTGTAATATGCTAGAAGGAAAAAAGACAACCATCCATTAAACTGGACGACAAGAGTTAATGCAGAGAGGATAGCAGAAACAGGCTCCTGAAAAGAAACAGCATTCAACTTGTTACAGACAAGCCATGAAAAAGACAAAAAAAAGATTTGTAACATCAGTTGCACTTTGATGGATGGAATTCAATTCAGCATTGAACGAACGACTCACCTGAAGCACAGAAGATCGCTTAAAAGGCCATTTACCATGATACTTAACAGGTTTGAGACCAAGTGCCTCCCTTTCTTTTTCTTGTTGCATCATACAAAAGTATTGACAGTCGCTCCTACAATTACACTGTTTCCACTGAACATATAGTGGCTCTTGCATATACCACGGACTGTCAACAAGTACACCGTCAGACAGAAACTGGCAGTGCTGAATTGAGCTGGCTCCAACAGATCCTTTCTTTTCACATTGTTCGATACATTCTCTGAAATAAAGAAATGTCAAAAAGTCAAGAATCAAAATAGAATCTTATTTTCTCATATGTTTAATCAGAAAGTGATATCAGAAAAGACTACATCTAAAACATGAAAGGCAAAGAATCAAGTCCAAGCTCTTTCAACATTTTTAAGCATTCATATATGCAACCATGTGAAAACATAAAATGGTCAAAGATTTGAAGAAACTCAATAGATTAGACACTATGCCAGTCAACGTCCATTGGCAATAGTAGGCCATTTTAACAGGAGATATGCTAATTTTGAACCCATTTGGCTCAGCTTCAAATGAATGCCTTGTTACCTAAAATGGAGCTTCCTGTGAATTTCAGTTGTTCATCATTGACACCCTGGATTTCTGGGGATGTGGGAGGGGCATTATTGCTGGCATCATGTCAGCATGAGATGTGCCAGCTGGCACAATAAGACGATATCTACATCTAGAATAACCTAAGCGAAAAGTATCATCAGCAACTACAAGGTGTATTCATGTCAATAACTAAAATTGCATCTCCGTAGGAACGATCTATTCACGTTATTGGTGACCAAGTAACTGATGATTAATGTCAAGAAACAAGACGCATAAGACTCTTTCAAAGGATTGTGTTTTTGATGATTTATACACCAACACCCGACAACTGATATCCATGGTTCTCCACAGAATTAGAACACAATTTTTTGGCATGGTTACAACATCGTTAGTATTATTTGTCAACCAATTTTCTAAAGTAGTTCCAGAGTTGGCATATCCTACTTTCTTGTTTAATATAATAAAATTAACAAATAAAACTTGTTGGGAATTTGTTCTCCTCTGTGCATTATAGTCTCTCTGCTCCACCCAATTTGCCAACATTCTTCCCATTTTACCTAGGTACTATGTTAGTCCCCTTTATCAGCATTTATTTCTCAAATTAGTTTCATTAGTAATTAAAAAATCAATATTGCATTCATTTCTCAAAGACTTTAGTGTTGTCTTCTATGACAAAAACAACAGCATTGAGTACAATTTTCATATTCTGTTACTGCAATTGTTTTCATCATTTGTATCATTAGTGTTATTATTGCCATTGTCCTTATCATCAAAGTAATCACTAGCAAAATCATAATTAAAGACTTTCTACTCAAGACCATCACATAAAATGTTAGATCACATCAACTTAGTATCAAGTGATATGAACAGGAAAAGCCTACAATTCAAAAGAGAAAACAAAAGGGGACCTAGTGGATCATACTCTGCCAACATGGACTTTGAAGAAGGCCAATATACATAACCCTACACTTGAAAGAAAAATGGGTATTTCCTCGGTCACCCAGATCACAGAGGAGAAAAATTATGGTAGCATCATATAATTCAAAACAAATGGTATGAATGAAAATTGAACAAGCTTGGTGCTAATTGACTTTTTCTTGTAAAAGTTTTTGAACCATGGTTTGATCCTTTTTACCTTTTGAAGTTTAATTAAAGATCAGGTTTAATAACTACGCAGCTAAATAATGTCAAGTCCAAAAAAATCCCATTACTTCCTTTCCGTAAATAAGGGCTTATGACGATTGACCTATCATTTTATGTGATCTTGTCTTTCTTCCCCTCTTTCCCAACCCTGAGCCTCATCGTGAATTGTGCCATTACCAACTTGTTGAAGGTTCCCTGATGACCATTTTCATCATGTGGTCATGGACTCTTAGTCAGCTTCCACCATCTCGAGAAGTGTTTTCACCCAAGGAACATCTAGACTAACTCCAAAAATAATGTCCATCGTTAGTTATTAGTTGCACCACTTTTGACTCAAAAGTACTTCAAATATATTTTTCTTTAGCTTTTCTTAGAAGCAACAAAAGAATATGATAATATTCTGCAATAAGTGCCTAAAGGAGACAAGTTGCACAACCTAAACTCAATTAGACACAGTTGAATTAATGCTAGTCAAATTCAATACTAATGAGATTAGGCTGCATCATCAGCTGGAAATTGCATCCAATCCTTTCCAAGGTATATTGGGCTACAAAGCAGCTCTGAATAAAACCTTAATGGTTAACTATTAGGTAGCAGAACTGTCTAAATTGTTTCAGTAGAAGGGAATTATCTTTGACATCATTCAGAGAGCAAATTAATATTAAAATAAGGCAGTATACAATCAATTCAAACTAACAATACAAGAAAAGATGTTTAGCAAAGCAAGATATTATTGAAACATATAGCTTATTCAGCAATTTCTTTCCACGCTAATACAAAAACTGTGGTCATATGCTACACGTGCATAAAGCAGTTTGCAGCTTTTTATTTCTTATGTATCTCTTTTGTTGACTAATTAGTAAGTAAGATCTAAATTCATAGTGATTGCCCATGCCAGTTTTGGTGACCCACACTAGAGAAGCGTACGCCCAAAAAATAACAATAACTGTATGAATAATATTCTTTTCCTGCTCAGATGTGCAGTACAGGGATAAAGGTTCATTTCCTTCATATAGAAATGTCATGGCAGTCTTCTATTAAAATTTTAGATCAACATGAAGCCAACCAACAGGACCCATATCTCGAGTGACATCAAGTTTTTGTGACTCAGGGCAACACAATGCCAATCTCCGACCCTGCGCTGCTACCAATGAACTAATTAGTGTTGCTCAGCCAATTATCCTATACCTTCCAGGGAAAAAAAAACAAGTCTTGAATGGAATTAGGAAAAACTACTATTTTTTTCTTTTAGACTTCTCCAATAGGGCCACTAAGAGATAGATGATCCTTAAAAAAACAACATTAATATTTCCAATATTAGAGCAGGAATAGCAAAACCTTTTACAGCCCTGATCACTACATGCTTTGGAATTAAATGTTGAATTTGTTTCTGGAGTAGAACGTTCATCTTTCCAGTAGATCCAACCAAGAACTTCATTACGGTTGTTAGAGAGTCTCTGACCAACACTGCTTATCAACGATACAGGCTCTACGGGCCGACAAGCTAAAGATAAGCAGACACCAAGAACAACTAACAGACAATCGAAGCTCAAAATCTCTTAAAACCTGAAAGCGCTAATAGTCAATTTTCTTAACCAAAAAAAGAAACCCTTTTATTTTTCCAAATTTCCCAATTACCGGCCCAAATTAAACAATAACCTCACCAATGCGGCGGACAAACACAACATCTACCAAACCATTTTCAATTAGGGAGACAAACCCACCTGTAGAGCGGATCAGCGTCGCCCTCGCTGGCATCAATAGCTCCAAAGATCCATCCGATTGAAACAATCACCAGAAGCCAACAGCGATCCATTTCCCAGCTCGAACCGGCACGCGATTCAACTGAATGATCGTTACACGAGGAGCAAGAACACCATGATCGGACGAAAAAGAACTCCTATCGAAGATCTCGTCTCCGGAGAACTGCTCGAAGGAGGAAGCGGAGAGACTCAGGAGGAACCAAGAGGCTTCGAATGGCTGTCCTCCCCACCACCTCCTCCTATCACTCTTTATCGTCCGTCGACGCACTCTACGCTGCTGCGAACTCAGGAGGGTGACGTGTGCATCCCGTTGTGGGCCTTACCGTTTAGTGATTGCCGAAGGGGTAGCGGAGAGGCTTCTGGGTCGAATTTGTTAGTACCGAATTATTATAATCCGGCGCAAAACCACGAGCGAACGCGTGGGGAGTACTGTCTTAGTCTACGTCCCCTACCCTAGTTCCCAACATCACTTCCCTACCAGCTTAGTGAATGGAGGAGCCACTGGGGCCCGGTGGCAAAAGATATTTTAAAGACGACGCGACGTTAAAGAGTATTGACCCATGGATTTCTGCATTAATTACCAGTGAACCACCCCGGAACTCCGGGGCTAAGCGCGGTGGGCCTGTCCAAAATAGTCATAATGCCCAGAAGCCACACCACGTGGACCGGCTCGCGGGGCCATAGAATTGGCCTATTGGGTCCCACTATAAGAATCGGATTCCATGTCTGAACCGGACAAGTTGTGAAATTATTTATATATATATATATATATATATTCGAAAATAATAGTCGATGCATAAATAATGATTCGGGTTTTTTGGGGTTAATATGACTGTTGACATGATCGATATAGCATCACTATAGGTGCCAATTTTTTTCTCTCTTAGTCATTTTCGTATATCTATATCAAATTAATTGGGCATGTCATCACTAGTTTTCGTGGCAAATTAAAAACATGGAGTCACATGCAAAATACATGCTCACGCGAATCAATACAGCGTGAGGTGAAAGTTACGATGCATGTCTAAGACATCTTAATTTAATGCTCAGCAATGTTAAGGCTTCCTATCAATCTTATCGATGTAATTGCTATGGAATAGTGCCAAACAAAAGGTGAGTGTTTTCCATTAATATGCATAATATTAAGTCGAATAGAGTTAAAAATTATTGTAGCTATTTTTTTCTCAATTGATTACTAGCACAATGATATTTGAAGCTGCAAATCATATCACTATATTTTAAATATTAATATTTTTTTTAAAGGATTTTTTAATATAAGTTTTAATTAGAGTAATTTATTGATAAAAATCATAAATTTTGAGATTGATAGTGTTTAATTTTGAAAAAAAATATTATGAGTGACAAAGATATCATCTAGTTTAACTGATAAAAATAATAATAATACTATTATCATAATGACATAACATATATGTGATGAAACTTATATTTAAGAAGGAGAAAGATGAAATCTTTTATTTTAGAGTGCTATGAATATCCATCTTGAAATAAAATAAGATAAAAAATATTTCTTTAAATCAAACCAACGATTCAAATTATATTGGATGGAGTTGTTGTAGCTTTCATAAAATGCATAATTTGTATTTTATTGGATTCTATCGATCGTAAAGTCACTATTTATATACGTTTAAAAAATAAAAATATATCAAGAGACGAAAAATGATATCAGGAAAAGGTATGCGTGGAGGTAACGATAATCGATAAATGAAGATTGAAGATGGTTGATAGAGATAAAGAGTAATTTTTTATTGAGAGAAATACTTTTGAGAAAAAAAATTTAAGGGATGCCTTTTGGTAAAAAACCAACATTAGTTTTTTAAGAAAAAAATATTTTTTTTATTGATATAGAAAATAAAAAGAAAGAGTTTTCTTAATTAAATCAGTTTATTTTACTTTGATTATTATTAATTAAACTCAAGTGGAAACAAAACTATGGCGGTGCTATAACACGTGCTGTGGATACTGTCGCCCGACCCCACCGCAGCGACCAATAGTGGTTGATGTATTACTGCACGGGGACAGCACATCAAGAATATTACCCGTACCCGTTCCAGCTCCTCGTATCCGAGCGAGCGTGCCGCAATTGGACAGCAGAAGTGGACCCCAAGCCCCCGGTTGCGGGTCCCGGAGGGGAGACGAGGCGTCGTCCGAGATCAACGTCGTGTGTTTGTGATACTAATTTAGTCTTTATTTAGGGCTTTTTTTTTCCCATCTTTAGATGCGATCGGTCGGTATAGTGCCGCTTACGCTTTTTAGTTCTTAATGGGACATTATTCTTACCGAACCCCGGCGCAAATAAACTTTGGCGAAGCGCTTTTTAGTTCCTTCATCCTTTTTTACGGCCTTTGCCAGCCCTTTCGCCTGCTCTCCGCTTCTCTCTGCTCTGCTGTCTTGCCGATCGCAGGCCGCCGCGAGCGTGGGGAACGCCTTCTTCCGGCAGCGGACCAAACAAAGATTTTGCGTCGTAATATCTCTTCTCTCGTCTGTCTTTCTAAGTATTGGTCTTCTTCGTCTTCGCCTACGCCTAATACTGAAAAAGATTAGAAGGATTTGTTTTTTCCGACACTTTCATGGTCACGGTCTTTTTCGTTCGAAAAGGTTTGTTCCTTGGCCGTATAAAGATTCTACAGTGAGATTACTCGTATCAACCTTGATCGTCGTTGTCCAGTAATCTTTGACGGCATGGCTCGTGATTTTTTCTGATGGAGACCCGGTGCTCTTGCTTTAGCATCTTACTGAAATCATTCTTTTTTCCTTTTTAATGCATAAGAAAGAGCCGACAAAAATGGTTTAATCTGTTTAACATTTTATTGTCTTAGTGTGTATGAAAGAGACAGCGATAGATTCATCGGTATCGGTGATATCTTCCATGCGGAAGTTAATTTGATCAATGACCATTGATAACATCAGACACAAGGTGCACGGAATGATTGTCTGAAAGTATTTTTATGTGTGTTTGATGACTTTTATGATATTACAAATTTTAATTGTGAATTCTTGAAAATAATCACTGAGCTTCACCGTTGTCAGGTTCATAAATGAGTAGCCGTATAACTGCTTCGTGTCTCTTGTTTATCACAACTGGGTTCTTATTTTTGATCGTTTATTAAATTTACATGGATTTCTTATTTAACCTACTATATTATTTTATTTAGAATGTCTTCTTTGCTTAGGCTTGAAAGGTGTTCATTGATCTTGTAGAATTTGTATCGATTATTTGGTACTTCAAATTTTCTGTTAACATTTTCATTCAGATTCAAAGAGAGGAAAATTCATCAATTTTTTGTTTTCTCTAAACAAGTATAACTTTTGGTGGCTTACTCTATATATTTTGTGTGCTCAAATCTCCTCGTGCTAGCAACTCCAACTGATCTATTTATTGGTTGCTGATAGTTGAACTTCCAGCATGGATGTGGACCTGATTATGGAGCAGGCAATTCCTTCAGGACGTTTAAGTGGCATTATCTTTGACTTGATGACTGATGCTGATATAGTAAGTCTTTTAATGCTCAATTCAAGATACCAGTAATGCATTGGGTTATTTGCATTTATTTAGCCTTTTTCCATCCAACTTGTAGTTCGTTGCTTATTGTGCTGCAATAATTTATGGCAAACAACAAAATTGTCAATTTATCTAGGAGTTATATGAGAATTATCCTCGCTCCCACATTTTGTGTTTGTTGTGTCTCTCCATCATTGTTTCAGTTGATTTTGGTCTCTTTTGAATCGAACCTTCAGATTATTCCTTTTGTAGATGCTTCAGAATTTAAGCAGATATAACAAACACTGACCTTAAACCACATTATAAATGCCTATAATTCTGTAGGTCATTTACATATATATACAAATTGTTCCATTCAACTTATAATTTTATGCTTATTCTTGCTGCAATATTCTGGAGCAAACATTATATTTGCTGACTATTTAGGAGTAACAGGAAAATTATCTCACTCTTCTATGCTTTCTGTGTTTGTCATCTCTCTTTATCCTTAGTCCAATTTCTTGGTTCTTTGCTGAAAGAATTCCAGATGTTTCTTTGATGCTTCAGGAGGACCTAATTAGATAAAATGAACAATAACCATCACATTATTGTATATCATAATGCATTGGTTTATTTGTGTGTCTATAATTTTTGTTCAATTTAGCTTGTAGTCAGATGCTTACTGTTGCACAAGGTCTTAAATTGAATGACAGTGTTGTTGATTTATATATGAGTGAGAATTTTCCTTGCTCTCTTGTACTTACCATCTTCGATTTATCTCTTCATAATATTTAATTATTTATAATTGGTTTTGTTTTCAGTTACCATCTTCGATTTATAATTCTTTGCAATTTTTTTTTCTGATGCTTTAGAAATTAAGTAGATAATTGAACATTAACCTTCTTTTTATTTACTTGTGATTTTCTTGATGTCTCATATATACCTCTGTCATCATGGTACTCAGCAAATTATAAAAAAACCTTGATTACATTTAGCTTCACCAAAACTTTAGCCAATTTTATCCCTAATTTCTTCCTCAGTTTACATGGTTAAGATTTTATTTGCACTATGCTGCCTGCTTATCCTGTTTAGTTGTCCTTTACTCTTTCTGTAGTTTTTTCCCTCCACTTGTATTTTCATGGCTCTCCTCACACATATAAACCTCTCACATTATTTTGTAGTAAGATAAATTTGTGGAGAGGGTAAACAACTTCTGCAATTGCTGCATTTTCATGGAGTGCTGTTGTAGCTCTGCAATGCCACAGCCACAATTGCGCAAGTGAAAGGGTTCATATAGTGAGACACTTGTTCCTGCTTCGTCCATGGTTTTCGGTGTTCTCAGATTGTTTTCGCGTTAGCAACATGTACAGGACATGCAATATCCTGTGCAGTCTCTTTCGCAGCCCCATTTTGCTTGGTTTTGCAGCATATTTGCTTGAGCTTTCTCGTTTGTAAGTCTCGGTAATGGACTAGGCTGGGCGGTCATTGTATGGAGTGGAAAATGGTCGAAACAACGCTTTTTTTCTATGTCAATGCTATGATTTTGGTTGATGGCCCAACGGTGTCAGTGTGAAACTTTGGCCATCTCAACACCCTAGAGTACTTTAGGTGCACCCAGGTCCGAGTGATGGTGTAATACCTTTATTGAGTCTTGTTTTGTTCAGTGATCATTTGGCTTGTACCTGCCTTCAAACCTTTTGTGTGCGACAAATCGAACTCGTTTGCAAGAGCTTTTTATTCCTAATAAAATGTAGTTGCTTTTGTTTTTCTGTGATCCTGGTTTTTTTACATTTTTGCAGGCGGCGATAACACATGACTCATGCATTCGTCTTTTTTTCTCGGATCTTAGTGGTATATTGGTATATTAACTCTGCAAAGAGCTAGGAAAAAGAAACAGATTTCTAGACTATGGTAAATTAATCAATTGTATAATAGTGATCAATTCTCTGTTTCTCTCTCTCTCTCTC